ACAAAATAAAAAAGTAAATTGAATGCAGAAAAGTTTCTTGAAGTCAAAATGCTGAATAGAATTGAAGGAAGTCAAAATGAAAAGGATCACCAGAAATCTCCATTTAGGAATGACTGGAAAAAGTGAGCAAAATAAAACTGTTTTGTTCTCTAGCAACAGTAGGGTAAGGGAGTCACACATGTATACTAAATACTAAAGATGAAGATTAAAAGGTAATGAATGTCAGGAGTTATATTGTCTTTAGTCAGAGAATGATATTTGTGAATGACTATATTTTTACATTTTATAATTTTCTCTGACCTGCAAGTTCCTAAATGAACATATTCAAGTTACTGAAAATCCGGCAGCCACCAGAGCATCAGATTTTTAACTTCTAGTCTGGCTTAGCTTGTGGATCTTTCTGTGAGGGCCATCAGCCAGGCAAACACATTAGGAGTTCCATGCACTCTCAGGTTACCTTCTGGCTGCTTAAGCAAAAAGAACCAGTTCAGGCTAAACTGAGCATGTATACACCATTGAGCCCACTTTACCACTCTAACAGGAAATTACCTGGTTCAGGCAGGTTTGAAAGGATTTAATAGAGGCTCAGACTAGCCTGTCTAGTTACCTGCTCAAGCAAATTGGTAAATAGATAGGTAGCTTTAGCACGTATGGGCTCATTTCTGACCTTGTGGCAGCTGATTTCCAATGCAACTCTTCATCATTTTTATAACTCCTTATAATTTAAGTAGATCCTTAATACTTTATAGTGTTTAGTATAATTTTTTTATGCACAGTTATTGGTGTTATTTTAAATTTTCCAAACCTTTTTTTCTTTTAGTTAAATGAAGGAATTCAAAGTTGTTATGGTGCTAAGTGTTACCTGTTTTATGGCACTACATCTGGTTGTTTTATCAGGACAGTTTTATTGAAGTTAATGTAAGACAGTTAAGATACTGTATGACCGGAACTGATTTATTTGTGAGGTAATATTACACAACAGCCTAGACTTTGTGGCTAGGCCTTAGCTGTGTTCAGCTGGCCCGAATGCTGTGAGTCACGATGCATATACATGTCATAGGCCATTGCATCATGATGGCCATAGAGGGTTAAAAAATAAAAAAGTAAGTTAGATGATTCAACATTTTTGGGGGGTAAAATACGTTAAAATCTTTGGGAGTTTCTGCTTCTTATTATATCAAATATTTCATTTTGTTATATCATACACATGTATGAATCCAAGTGTGAAAGTGGTAAAATTGGTTGAGATTCCTGTGTGAACACTTAAGAATTATTTAATATTAGTAAAGTTATTCCCGTTTCAGTGACTGTGTATGTATTTTTAATTGAATGTAGCATTCAGTCTTGGAAGAAATGAAACAGTAACAGAGTTTGAGTGATTGGATAGTATTCAGAAATACAGTACTGAGTTTGACAGATACTTATATGGTTATATTTACAAAAAACCTAAGCACAAACACATTAGCATAGCTGTTGCTACTACAGATAAGATATGAAATTTAAGGGAAACAACTCTTGAAGAACATGTTTAATTCCTACACACCAGCTTTGTTATGAGTTACACTCTTTTAAATCTCTGTCAACAAGATCAGAAAACTCCACAATCATATAAAGGTTGGTTTCCCATAACAAGAAAGTTTCTACTACGTGAGCCTAACACACACCATTATTACCAACAAATGAAGGAGATATTTCACTCATACAATAATCAGGGTGTGATAAAATTATATATATAGTCTATCTCCATATAAAACTCTAACTTATTACAATAGTTAATGCTTTCATTTAATTATTCATTGTCTCTTGATACTGATATGCAACAAACAAAGTGCACTGTACTGTGGGATTTGAGATTTTGGGAACATAATGAGGGAGAATGGTTAACATGGTTTTGTTTAAAGAAAATATATAGCATATGAGGATTTAGTTATAGTTTCTATGGAATTGAGTAGATATATTAATCAAATTCACAGATAGCTTAAATATTCTTCCATTTCTATCTCTACATTAATACTATCCTCTTTAAATGGTTCCTAATATTAATTGATTTTCAGTTACCAAACACTTTCCCTTTTTCATCCTAAAAAAAGGAAAAGGAAAAGAGAGAAAAAAAGACCTAATTGCATAGATGGCTATCTCAAAAGATATGATCCCTCAATCTATACGCAAAATTTGTGAATAAAGGATCTATTTCTCATATCAGCCATATAATGAATCTGTAAATGTGCATGTGGAGGTTTGTGTTTCGGACAAATCATGGAAGGAATGAAATATGGGAAGATCGACAGAAATAACAATAATCACGACAGCCAAAAAATGAGAGTGAGAGAGAGAGAGAGAGAGAAAAAAAGAGAAAAAGAAAGAAAGAAAGAAAGAAAGAAAGAGAGAGAGAGAGTATTATGCTTTATTGACGGAAACACTTCGTTACTCTGTTAATCATTTTCCCTTCACAGATAAAATACTGCAGTGCAATTCATAATACAAAACAGTCGTTTTATGAGGCGCCAGGAAGGTTATTTTTAATGTTAATTACTAGAGGATGCACATTCATGTGTAATTCACAAAAAACAAAAATCCAGCAATTTCTCAGCACTATGTCTAATTTCCATTATGAATTTGTAAGGGGTTTACAAAATAAGGCTATTGTGCATATATATTTAATAAAAACTTCTTAATGAACAAGAAGCATGCATTATCACACAAAATCATCATCAGTGAAACATGTCACCACATTAGACAACAGAATCTAGGCTGGACAGCTGGAAGTGCCTGTACAAATATACCAAATATCTTTACACATGGAAAACTTTATTAATCATTGGGGAAAGAAGGGAAAGGTGGTTTAGTGTGGGGTGAATTACATGTAATACTTCATTTTTCACAGTAATATTTTAAAACTAAGTAGGGTGAGTTAGTATGAGACACTGGGAATAAAATATTTAATGTCTAACAAAATCACATACAGATCTTGGCTGTTATGATTCAATTACTTTCAATTCAAAATACAAAATTAATAGTCTGTATACTGAATGAGGAACTTTTCTCCTTATCACTTTATACAAGAAAAATGAAATCCATAAACATTACTTTTACAATAACAATTTATGATTACCTAGAGTAGAGCACTAACAATGATTGTATGACTCTTATGATCCTATATCTATGGATTTTAAAAACTGCTGTCAAAGTCACTCTTCATTGCTCATTAGTCAATAAATATTACAGATTAAACCTCATAGCAATAAAACAATTACCTAAGCCTACAATTTTCACTCAACATTATGGCAGAGCATTCTACTCATAATCGTCAATATTCAGAGCCACTATAGATTCTTGAACTCCTGAGCACTGAAAATATTCAAAGTTTTGAATATTCAAAAAGCGTTCAGTTCTTTACTTCTTGGCAAACTCCTTGTGCACGAAGTCTTCTTAAGCAGCCTTCCAGGATTATCTTCCCCTTTCTAACATCCTACCACCGTACAGCCAAAGTCTGATGGTGTTAAAAATATCAATTACAATAAAAAAACTATAAACCATTAATTTTTTTCTTTCTTTTTTTTTTTTTTTTTTTTTTAATCATCACTGTCTTAAACAGAAACTAAAATGAAGTGTTTCAGCATGCATGGAACTTGTATACCTTGGTTGGACTGTCCCACACTGTTTAAGTACTGCAACCTGTTTCCTTCAAGTGACTGTATATCAATTATTAAAAAAATGTTTCAGATATTTTCTTCTCTTTTTGTATGTTTGTTTTATTTGCTGAGAAAGAGGGAAAATTTTTCTACAGTAAAATAGAAATAATTTATTCCACACAATCAATCAATGTAACATAAATTTATAAAACATAATAAATTAAAGAGGTATAATACTCTGAAGTTTTAACATCAAAATTCAACTCAAAAGTAACACCCTTTCTTAAACTCTTTTTTTATTACAGGAATGTGAAGCCTTTCTGAACATACTCAACTGGTCTATGCAATAAACCACTTTCATGAATATTACATAAAAAAAACTATCCAACTACTTTAATACACAGAAATAATGATTTGCCTACAAAATACAGTAAATATATAAAATCAAAGGGTTGTGAGGGTAAACAGCTTCAAAAATAATGTAATTTATTCCCTAATGACAAAGCCTTTCTGAAAATTTATATTTAAAGCTCATAAACTTTACAGCACAAGCACCTTGTGCCACAGATTTGCCTTTTAAGAATCTGAAAATTAATATGTCAGGTACCCTACAAAATTCAGCATAGAACTTCTAAGGAATACACAAACATGCAGTTCAAAGCATTACTTTTAGTTAAATAGTAATATTCTCAAACATGCAACTGCACTGTAAAAAAAACTCAACAAATGCAAAATAAATCTGATAAGAGGATGTTACTGAATTATGAATCCACATTGGACTTTCAAATAAAAGCAAAATAAGGATAAAAAAGGGGAGAGTGAAAAAAATAATTATATTCTTTCATTTTTCTTTTTCTTCCTCAGAAATTTCAAAAATATATTCAAAGGTAAGTTCAAACTATCAAATGCTCTTTCCCTTCTAACATTAAGAAAAGAAAGAATGAAAAAAAGAAACAAAATGAAGATGTAGTTAATACCATATGGCCACATATGCCTCTCACACAAGACTTGACCTTAACAAGTCTCTCTTGAATGAATTTCATTATTATTCATTACACTACATTTATACAGTCTTATCCTTATCCTTGGGATAGAGCACACTTGGAACTAAGTAGAATGATCTGAATAAAAACAAGGAAAATATATAATAAAAGTGTATAAATTACATTATATTTCTGGGGGACATGATATTCATGGTAACTACACTATACACAGGAGTTACTATGAAGCTCTATTAGGATGATGATACTATAACCCTATAGCTTCACAACTCAGAAGACTTGGCATATCTATCAGTCTTGTCATATCTTGATATTTCTACCACAAAGCTGAAAACTTTGTGTTCTACAAATGTATATCATACAGAGAACTTAAAATATATAAAATAGTAAATAATCGCCTTATAATATAGACTGATAATGGAAAAAGACACTTCCATGCACCTAGAAACAATGAGAGAGAAAAAAGTTGCTGCACATACACAAAGCATTTTCTTTTGGACAGACAAGTAAAAAACAAACGACAGGAAACTTTACATCTTGACAGATACACCAGTAAAGACCTCCTCAGACAGAGATGAGGAGAAAAGAGACACAACAAGAGCACAAAAGAGAAAAGATAGATGAAAAAGATCTCTAGCAAACATCATCAACAGTATAAATAACTTCGTATCATTTTTCGTCGCACACTAGTAGCGCTACATTAGCATCATCCTAGTAGCTATCACTCAACCATTGTCCCTTAGAATACCTCATTCCCTCAACACCTCTCTTAGGCCCCTCAACAGAGATCCTCAGCAGCGATTGATTTCTTAATTCGGAGGAGCATAGTTGTGTACCACTGGTCGAGGCGGGAGATAGAGTCATATTCTTTAACTGTGTCGGTGAAAGCGTCCACATTCTGGTCCTCCAGGTGATTCATAAGAGCCTGTAAGCACATGTTTGCATGATAATTGTGGTTTGCCTTTTGCAACCTAAATTTTTTCCCTCCTCTTCCTGATAGCAATATACCCAAAGACTTCATTTATTGCAAAGGAATTTTATAATTCTAACATTTCTGTTTTTTTGAGGGGAAAGGAGAGGGGGCAAAAAATATTTGCCAGTATGAGCTATGCCCTACACTGCATTATTTAAAGAAGACAGCAAGTGGAAAAAATGAATTTAAAAAAATATATAAATAAATAATAAATAACAAAATAAATAAACAAATGAATAAAAAATAAAACAATATTTGCTATATGAAACAAACCTTGAGCAGCTTGCACTCGCGGGAGTCCTGGAACGCTGGATACATCTCTTCATACTTCTCCACAGAAATCTTTGAATTGGTCAAGTCAACACACAAGTGGCACAGTGCTGCTCGGAACATGTATTCCTTGGCACTGTATTTGAGTAAGGAGCTTTCTAGGGAACTAGCAGCCACCTGCATAAGAATAAAATAATTTAGCAACATATAACCACTTACAAAAAAAAACAAAAAAAACATAGAACATCCTTTCATTCAGCTCTTACATGAGGCCAGTCCAAAAAGCAACAAAAATTCACAGTTCTGGAATAAATTTTGGAATGCACTTTGTTGGATAGTGTACATCTCAGCAAATCTTTTATCTCTACTGTTGTCTAAAATCAGTGACTTTTCAGAACATATCTTAGCTTTGAAACAATTAACAAGAGAAAAATTGAATTTCACCCAAAAGTCAAAGAAATTGACATGAGGAGATGCACTGTTGTGGTACAATATTTAGATTTTGGTTTTCTATACCTGAGGCCTTTTCAAGCTTCATGCCCTCCATATAAAACTATTGACTCTCCGATGAAATACCAATTTCAGAGAACACAAGAGTTAATATACACTCCACTAAAAGCTCTAAAACTATCCCTTAAGACAGAACTCAGAAAAAAAATTTGAGTAGTGAATCCATAGCTAGTAAAGTCCAACTGTTTCTGATTAGTGTGCACACTGTCCTTATGGTCTATTTTTGATACTGACAATGCATGTCAAGACAATGATGATGATAAAGTAAAAGACAAATAAAAAAATATAATTGAACCAACCTGTTCATAGATCTGGATTGCCTTCTCGTAGTTCTCCATCTGTGCAGCAAACATAGCCACCTTAAGCAGACACTTGTTAGCAGAGGAGTTGTTCTCTTCACCACGGAAGTAGTCAGAAGCCTGCTCGTAGTGTTGGATGGCCTTCTCCATGTCTGCTACCTGGGGTGAAAGACATTAATTCTGCTCAATACAGTTTAACAAATCTATTACACAGGAACCATTTTCAGTCTAAGGTGAGGCATTTGACGAACATTGGAATTTCTTTCCGCTATGTATGGGATTTGACAGTCTAAATCTGATTTATTCCATCAAAATTCACTTTCCTTTTGTAGTTATGAGAACTGAACCCCATCCTTTTAAACTGGATCTTGTAATTTGGATAAATCAGTGCAACATACATATGAATACATAGTATTTTGTAAACTATAAATATCCAAGACACGAAGACAGCAGTGTCATAATATCACTTCCTTGAGGTTTAGTATGTAGGAGTTTAAATTCTCTAAAAACAAGGTTTATACATTCACAGAAGCTCTTCCACTTCAAATCAATTTAAACGAATATTCACGTACAAGCCTAGACTTATTTAGCCGATTCTACATGCTTTAAAAAAATATTATATATATATATATATAATATATATATATATATATATATATATATATATATATATATGCACATATATATGTATATATTTTATTTATTTATCTATTTATTCTATTTCAAATGGATTCTATTATGATTTCTCCTTGTATGTTTAAAGGTTGAAGGGAGGGAGGGAGGGAGGGAGGGAGGAGGGAGGGAGGGAGGGGGAG